ACCGCCTCCCTCATGCTGCGGCCAAGGTCCCAGAGTCTCTAATGGGTCCCCTGTACCGGCCTCCCATTGCTGCTGTCTCCATGCGCTCACTCTCTGGCCATGTGCCACATTCAGGTCCTCTTCACACACACTGCTGGTTGGTTCGTGTTGAAATTTTTGACATAGGGTTGCTGGCAGATTACGGGCCTCATAATAGCTGCTGCCAGCCCCATCCTTAATCTGCCATAGGCCCCTATATACCGCCTCCTCATGCTTGCTGCCACGGTCCAGAGTCTCTCATGGGTCCCTGTACGGCCTCCCATTGCTGCCTGTCTCCATCGCCACACTCTGCCAGTGTGCCACTTTCAGGTCTCCTCACACACTGCTGCCCCGCTCTGTGTGTTCAATGTTTTGACTTAGGGTGCTGGCAGATTACGGCCCTCCCCTAGCTGGCTGCCATGGGGCCCCTAATTCTGCCATGGGCCCCCTATATACCCCGCTCCTCATGATGCTGCCTGCCAGGTCCACAGTGCTCTCATGCCATGTGCCACTTTCAGGTCTCCTCACACTGCTTGTGTTTTCAATTTTTTGACATAGGGTGCTGGCAGATTACGGGCCTCCCATAGCTGCTTGCCAGGCCCCTAATCTGCCATGGGCCCCTATTACCGCCTCCTCATGCTGCTGCCAGGTCCAGAGTCTCTCATGGGTCCCTTGTAAACGGCCTCCCATTGCTGCTGTCTCCATAGCCACACTCTGCCCATGTGCCACTTTCAGGTCCTCCTCACACACTGCTGGTGTGTTGAATTTTTTTTGACATAGGGTGCTGGCAGATTACAGGCCTCCATAGCTGCTGCCAGGCCCCTAATCTGCCATGGGCCCCTATATACCGCCTCCTCATGCTGCTGCCAAGTCCAGAGTCTCTCATGGGTCCCTGTACGGCCTCCCATTGCTGCTGTCTCCATCGCCACACTCTGCCATGTGCCACATTCAGGGTCTCCTCACACTGCTGGTGTGTTTTCCAATTTTTTGACATAGGGTGGCTGGCAGATTACGGGCCTCCATAGCTGCTGCCAGGCCCCTTATCTGCCATGGGCCCCTATATACCTCCCGCCTCCTCATGCTGCTGCCAAGTCCAGAGTCTCTCATGGGTCCCTGTACGGCCTCCCATTGCTGCTGCTCCATCGCCACACTCTGCCATGTGCCACATTCAGGTCTCTTCACACTGCTGGTGTGTTTTCAATTTTTTGACATAGGGTGCTGGCAGATTACGGGCCTTCCCATAGCTGCTGCCAGGCCCCTAATCTTGCCATGGGGCCCTATAATATACCGCCTCCCTCATGCTGCTGCCAAGTCCAAAGTCTGTCATGGGTCCCTGTACATGCCTCCCATTGCAGCTGTCTCCATCGCCACACTCTGCCATGTGCCACATTCAGGGTCTCTTCACACTGCTTGTTGTTGTGTCAATTTTTTGACATAGGGTGCTGGCAGATTACGGGCCTCCATAGCTGCTGCCAGGGCCCCTAATCTGCCATGGGCCCCTACTATACCGCCTCCTCATGCTGCTGCCAAGTCCAGAGTCTCTCATGGGTCCCTGTACGGCCTCCCATTGCTGCTGTCTCCATCGCCACACTCTGCCATGTCCACTTTCAGGTCTCCTCACACACTGCCTTGTGTTGTGTTGAATTTTTTGACATAGGGTGCTGGCAGATTACGGGGCCTCCCATAGCTGCTGCCAGGCCCCTAATCTGCCATGGGGCCCCTATATAACCCGCCTCCTCATGCTGCTGCCAAGTCCAGAGTCTCTCATGGGTCCCTGTACGGCCTCCCATTGCTGCTGTCTCCCATCGCCACACTCTGCCCTGTGCCACTTTTTCAGGTCTCTTCACAATGCTGTTGGTGTTGAAATTTTTTGAATAGGGTGCTGGCAGATTACGGGCCTCCCATAGCTGCTGCCAGGGGCCCCTAATCTGCCATGGGCTACCCTATATACCGCCTCCTCATGCTGCTGCCAAGTCCAGAGTCTCTCATGGGTCCCTGTACGGCCACGAGCATTGCTGCTGCAAGGAGGCAGCAGGGTCGCCAGCAGTGTCAGTGGAGGCAAACGGCCACGGAGTAGAGCACCAGCTCCACTGCAGCCTACCACCACGGGCCAGAATGGTGGTGCCGGTGTGCAACGGAGGAAGTAGCAGTCAGCCAGTGCAGGTGTAGAGGAGGCAAAGTTTCCTACTCTGCGCCCTGGCTAATTTTTTTCGCCAAGCCATGGGCCCGAGTGAAGTAAACGTAGCCGTATGTCGACTATGTGGCCAGAAAAGTCAAGCGGGGTGTGGCCAGGGGCCCATGTTCAGGGACTACAGCGTTGCGTCAGCATATGCAGCGTCGCCATTCGTTGGCCTGGGAAAAACCGTAATAAAGATACGGCGGTTCTGCCTGCCCCATCCCAGGTTTCCATTTTTTGTCATAGGGTGCTGGCAGATTACAGGCCTCCCATAGTGCTGCCAGGCCCCAAATCTGCCATGGCAACCCCCGTACCGCCTGGTCACGCTGCTGCTAGGGCCCACAGTGTGACCTACATGGGTCCCCTGTACCGCCTCCCATTTGCTCCCCACTCTGCCATGTGCCACTTTCAGAAACACTGGTTTGGCCCCGTGACTGGCCAAATGAGTGAAGTGTGCGGTGATTCTAAGATCGACGGCACTCATCTGCATGTCATACTGAGTGACAGTATTATTTCTCTTCCCCAGCAGACTCCAAGGGCATTTAAATTAAAGGTACAGTGTTCTGCACTAATATTAAGTCTCTCTGAAGCCTAGAAACACCCTTTTTTAAGTTAAATTCACAGCGAATTTATTCGACTCGAATCGAATATTGTCCACGAATTCGCCGAATCAGTCGAATCGAATTTTTCATTTCTTCGCTCATCTCTAGTGGTAATCTGATGGGTTGGGGCAGGGAGTTCCAGAGGATGGGTGACACCCTGGGGAAGTCCTGGAGGTGGGCATGGGAGGAGGAGACCAGGGAACTAGAGAGAAGGAGGTCTTGTGAGGAGCGGAGTGTGCGTGTTGGGTGGTACTTGGATACTAGGTTGGTGATGTAGTTCGGGGCAGTATGGTGGACACTTGTGGACTGGGAAGAATTCCCCCCTTACAGATAGCTAAAAAAAATCAATGGCATCAGTGGGAACTTATCTGAGAGGCAGAAATTGCTGATTGCTCAAGGAACCCCTAGCGACCCCTGGAAACGCTGACCTAGACTGATATACACTAAAAGCTTCATCCAGCAAAATGATTGCATTTTGAAAACCCAGTAAAAAAGTAAAATAATTGGTAATATAAGGCACTGGAGGGTGTAGACAATCATTTTCAGCATATTAATTATTTGAGGGTTCCATAATTGGGATGTAGCAGGGGTGTATTTGTTCCCCACATACTTTATACTAAAAGATGTTCCCCTTTCTCATTGACACGTATGGCGTTAGGACTGTTGATCCTCCAGAAATCCAGTAGGCTTGTAAATTCCTGTACTGAGATGATGTTGCTGCACTCATATCTCAAACATTGTGAATCAGCCCTTTGGAACTACAGAACACCTCCTTTTTATGTTATAGAGATGAGGAGAAAGAGAGGTGTTCTGGAGTTCAAAAGGTGCTCTAAACAGGACTGATTCACAATGTTTGAGATATATTAGTGCAGCATCCTCAGCTCAGTACAGGAGGTTACAAGCCAACTGGATTTCTGGAGGATCTACAGGTACTTTCCGCATGTATTGAACAGATGTAACAAAACACTTTTAATGGAATATTTAACAGACCAAAAGGGAGCAAATAAGAGAAGTTCATTGTTCGGCTTTACATACACATCCTCCCTCTTCAGTCTGATCCTTGATACTCTAACAATCGCTGTGCTGTTAAATTATGCACTATAGCTGCAGCGGACTCATTCACAGCTGTACTAACAGCTGCACAGGCTACAGCTTCGCTCTCAGAATAATAATGAATCCTACAGCTCAGAAATAATTGCAGATTATGCACTGGTTGTTTTTCTGTTCATGCTGAAAAGATAAAAAAAAAAAAAGAAGAGTGAATAAATACAATTTATAAAGGACTTAGACAACACCACGCCATGTTATGTAACAGATTTTCAAAAAATCCCTATGAATCTCTGTCTCTCTATATACAGGGTGCAGCAACATAACTGCCTTTTTTGAAATGCGTGCCATTCAGGCTGTAGCGGCCATAGCGGGGCGGGAGTGGTCTCAGGCGACAGGCGTAGTTATAAAGTTTTTGTTCTCTTCCAGGTCAGTCATCATCATGCGTTGGATCAGTGAGCAGCGTGATGATTGGATGAATTGATGATGAATGATTGATGAATTGGACTTAGGGGACATTTGGTTCCAACAGGACGGAGCTCACACTTCAAGAGCATCAATGGCTGTTTTAAGGGAACACTTCCCGGAGCGCCTCATCTCAATAAGGGGTGATTTGGAGTGGCCAGCCAGCTCCCCCGATTTGGCCCCTTGCGACTTTTTTTTTGAGCTCAGGTGGGGGATCTCCTTCCCTGGGACAAAGGTAGACCGCACAGCAGGCTTTCGTCAAAATCTGACTGGTTGTCAGTTTTTATTTAAAAAAGGTTTGCAGAAAAATCAAAATAAACAAAAATCAAAATAAACCCTTGCCATCCAGGCACTAACTAAACAGCAGATGATTCCTCTCTCAGAGGTGAAGGGCTTCTCCCTGTCACCAAAACAAAATAACAGCAAACCTTTTCTTGCAGGTATAGTCCATACACACAGCTCTCTCAGAATACCTCTCTGAGTCCCAGGCCACGAGCAACTCCTTGCTCCAGCCCTGCCCTTTTTATACCACCTGTTGGTGGAGATCAGTGGAGTCCAAACTCTGGTCCGGAACCACCTGCTTAACTGTGGCCCCGAAAACCCGGAGTGGACTCCACCTAAACGGTCAGGTATGAGCATATGCGAGGTGACACATAGCGTCCCTCTATCACCTCGCCGTTCATCCTGTCACATATCCCCCCCCTCTGCTCAAGCCCCTGCGGCTGAGCAACTGTTCCAACCAGACAATGGACCCGGGAGAGGGCATCTACATTATTTTGCAGTTTCCCCGCTCTGTGTTCCACTGTGAATTTGAACACTTGTAGCGCGAGAAACCACCTTGTCACTCGACTGTTTTTCTCCTTATTATCACACATCCATTTGAGCGGGGCATGATCAGTAACCAACTTGAACGGTCTTCCTAACAGGTAATATTTCAGGGCCTCCAAGGCCCATTTGATGGCCAAACATTCCTTCTCCACAATGGCATAGTTTCTCTCATGTTTGTTGAGCTTTCTACTTAGGAAGACCACAGGGTGCTCCTCCCCATCTCTGATTTGGGACAGTACCGCACCTAGTCCCACGTCAGAGGCATCAGTCTGTACCACAAACTCTGTTGTGAAATCTGGAGTCACAAGCACAGGTTGAGCACAGAGAGCTTGTTTCAGCCTTTGAAATGCGGTCTCCGCCTCAGGATTCCACTTAATCATGACTGACCCCCTACCTTTTGTCAGATCTGTCAGTGGGGCTGCAATGGTGGCAAAATTGGGGATAAACCGCCTGTAGTACCCCGTGATTCCAAGAAATGCCCGGACTTGTTTTTTATTTACAGGTTGGGGGCCACTTTTGAATTGCCTCAATTTTATTGATCTGAGGCCTAATGAGACCTCGACCAATGATGTAGCCAAGATATTTGGCCTCCTCTAAGCCAATGGCACACTTTCTGGGGTTGGCGGTAAGACCTGCTTCCCGCAGCGAATCTA